CGCCTAGCTCCAATAACGTTGAGAGGAGCAGCAGCCTCCCACGCTTTCAATAACGTACCGCCGGTACGCAAGGAAAATCATGGGTTTTATATGGTCACTTTGCACTCTCATTTTAGATGTGGAACAATTCCTGGATCTCAAAACTATTCAAAAGTTTAATACGCTGTTTATTTTGATATTCTATAACTACATTTCTACAAAATAGTTTTTCTCTCTCTAGTTTGTTTTTCTACTCCATGCCACTTTTTCTTTTTCTTTTTTTTTTTACATCAATAAATGGAGTGAGGCAACTTAGGGCAATGAACATGTCATTTTTTTATTTTTGAATTTTACTATCTTTATTTTCTAATTTTTAGGGTAAATGTTTTTTAGTGTCATAATATTAAGGGGTTTTAGTTTTTAATCATGTTCTAAAAAATGAATTAATGAGCATGTCAATTAGTTTAATAATATTAATGAGTATGTCAATTAACTTATAAATATAAGCATATCATGTTTCCAAATTAGCGTGTCATATTCAATGAGCCTTATCAACATATTTATCTAATTAAATGACTTAATTAGAGTGCCAAATTAAAAAAATTTCATATAAAGTTTTTGCTATTTATTATTAAAATGGATTTTTTGGTATATTTTATTTTCATTTTTTTTTGAATTTTTTAATATCATCACATTAGAATTTATTGGGGGTTTTATTTTTATTTTTAATCATATGATATGGAAACATTTTCTGATACTTTTTTAATTATAATTAGTAATAATGGTTAACAGTAGTTCATACAAGGAAAAAATCTCAATATTAGCATATTGATGCAAAACAATAAAAGTTTTTAATAGAGTACCCCAATTTCTTATTGGATTCCTAAAAAAAAATATTTATAATAAATTTTAATAATTTTTTGAAAAATTATCGCCAATATAGCTTAATTTTAATAAAATCGTAAAAAACCTCAAACTTCCCAAAACCTCGCCCACATCCTTTTTTCCATTTTTTTGGATATTTTGGATGAAAATACTCTTTACGGTAGTCTTCTACCGTAACACATTTTGAATGTATTACGGTAGAAAATTACCGTAATAATGTGAATATATATTACGGTAGAAAGACTATCGTAATAGTGTGAATATACATTACCGTAGTCGCATATTACAATAATTTAAATGTCATAAAGAACATTACGGTACTTTAATTATCATAATATATAAATATATGATTCACGGCATTCTTGGTACCCTAATACTTTGAAAAGCTTCAAACCGAAGCTAATATCAAATCTACCCCTATTCTCCCGCCTTATGCGAAAGTACTGTAATTAATGTGGTTCGAAATTGAGTATTTTGGATTCGGTTTATTGTCTCGGAGTGATTGGGGTAACAATGGCGCTAGTTTTGCTGTAATTCCATTGCTTTTTTGATTTTTAGGTTTTCGAAAGATGTACACAGTCGGGGCGGTTGGGCAGTTATATTTCAAGAGGAGTTGACAGTCGCATGCCCTTTCCCTCTATTTGGCGGGTGCAGTAGATATCATCGTTGTTGAACAACAAGATAGGAGTTTCAAGACCTCACCTTGGTATGTGAAGTATGGCAAGTTTCAAGGAATGGAACTGTTCTACCAAGAAAAAAGAATTTAACTAGGAAGCGCTAATGAAGGATTCAAAAAAAGTGTTCTATACTCTGGAAGTTGCTTATCAATCTAAATTTATAGAAAGCTTCGAAATGAATGATGGATCTACATAGGTTTCTAACCATGAAGAAATTCCTCGGCTCTTGGTGTTGGAGAGTTGCGATTCATTGGACATTGAAAAACCATTCAGACAAAAGCAGTGGAACTTTGCTACATGGAAGAAGAGTCAAACACAAAAAAGCTCAAGAAGGATTCAGAAAGAGGGGTCTCTGATCTGGCTTCTCAATCAAAAGTAATCGAGAGTTGTGAATTGAGGGGTGCCGACTCTCATATTTCTACTCATAAAGAACTTTCGGAATTGTTGGTTTTGGAGAGTTACGGTAATTACCGTAATACATAAATAAAGTATTACAATGCTAAAAATACCATAAATAATATATTTTTTATTTATGATAATTAAAGTATCATAATGTTTTTTATAGTATTTAAATTACTGTAATGTTCATTACGATACTTCGAATACTGTATTGTATTTTCACACTATTACAGTAGTCTTTTTACCAAAATACATTCGGAATGTATTACATTAGAAAGACTATCATAGAGGGTATCTTCGTCCAAAAAATCTCAAAATTTGGAAAAAATAGTGTAGACGAGGTTTGGGGAAGTTGGAGTTTTTTTTTTACGATTTTCTTAAAGTTAAGTTATGTTAACGATAATTTCCCTAAATTTTTTGGATTTTTTAAGGCTTAATCCGATTTCCGATCCAGATCGTCGATTCTCAAATTTGGATGGATTTTTAGGGTGCCCGATCCATTTTTTAAACCACTGGTTTGGATCAAGTAAACATAAACCAGTGTTCACAAAACTGGCCGGTTAGAAACTGAACCGGCCGGTTAGATCGCTACCGGTGGGGTGGCGAGTCCGATTATGCCTGGTTTTACGGCACACCTCATAAGACGACACTCTCCAAAAAAAATCGACACCAAAACCGACCGGTTTGAGGTCGAACCGGCGGTTTTTAGTATAAACAGGCCGGTTTTTCCTAACATATCCCGTTTACCGTTTAACGCCCGATATAATGGCGTTTTCAACGCATCAAATAACGGCCGTTATTTGATACATGCCCGTTATTTTTCATATAACAAGATTTTGCCTCTTTTTTTTTGTATAATTTTTGTTTTTTTCTGTCAACTATTGATGTTATACACCGGAAAGTTTCTATAAATCGTTGATTATTGAATCAAAATTCCAAAAACAAAGAGTTCTTGACGAATTGAAATGGGGTTTTTTAAAAATTAGAAATTTCCGTCATTCTATCTCTATCAAATGCAGCTTCAATACGTCATAGATTTTCATAAAACTGGAGGGCTTTGATTCACTGTTGAAGGATTCAACATTATTTCAAATTTTCCAAAACGACGAAGATTTGAGATCTTTTTGGGCCCGAAGTACTGCTGCTTGAAGAACTGTTTTTTATCCAAACAAATTGATTTCTGATCGATTAATTGATCGATTTTTATCGAATTGATAGCTGAAGTTTGATCATAAAGGCCTCATGTATCAAATAAACTAATTATTTTGATTTACTATTGATTAAATGTTTTTGTATCGATTTTTTTTTGCTGCGTTTTTTTTCCTGAAATTTTCGTAAAGTGAAAAATCCACAATTTTTTGAATAAATATCTCAATAGTGAATGAATCTTTTATGAAATTTGGAGCATTTGAATCTTAATTAAAGTATCTATCATATCTCCATGTCAATTTATTCAAAAAATGAAAGATTTGGGATTGATTTTGACTTTAAAGTTTATGTGTTTTTTGGCTCGATTTTATGGTTCTCAAAAAAAATTGTTTTTTAATAAAATTACGTTTTGTTTTTATAAAAATATATTATTTGTGATGAATATGAGAAAAAAAGAATGTATTCTTTTTTAAAAAAGAATTATATATTTTTGGTGAGCTTTTTGGTTCGTTTTTTATGTTTTTTATGTTTGTTTACAAAAATATGTCTTTTTTTTATGAATATAAGAAAAAAATATTTCCTTCTTTTTAACGTTATATATTTTTGGTGAGCTTGTTGGATTGGTTTTAATATTATATATTTCTTTTGTGATGAATATGAGAAAAAAAATTATTTCTTTTTAAGGTTATTTTTGGTGCATGTTACTGTAGTCTTAGTTATCCACTTCTTGTTTAGTTTGTGACATTTTATTCTAATTTGTTTTTTATTTGTTACAAGCTATCTATCATTTTTTGCAACCTCATACTCCTTAAATCTGTTTATTAGCCTCTATGAAGAAAAGAGGTAGAAACTAAAAAGTGTTTTACTCATCTCTCATGTTTCCACATGCCGAATTGGATAAAAAAATAACTTTTTTTTTTTTAATATGCATCTTAATTGTACATTTTAAAGTTGCCATCTTATACAATTTTTTTTTTTTTTTTTTTTTCATGTTAAAACCTAACTCAAAAGGTTACTAAATAAATAAGGTTTGCCCATTTTAAAATCAATTTGGCCATTTGAAAATCGACTTAACCATAGTTTTTAAAATATGCCATTTGGTCATTTGAAGCAACACTTAACACCTTGACCCATATCTTGGACTTGATAACCAAGTTACTGCGTAAATAAGGTGCTCTTTATTACTACCTTGACTCACAACCCTTCGAAAAACTGGGAACATCATGCTACAAAAAAAAATACGCTTTGAAATCCAATTCTAAACCATATTAAAGGGTTTTCCAACATTAAAACAATATTTTTCAACATTAACATTAAAAAAATATAGAAGCATATGTTGTTGCATCATCCATTGTTAGTTGGATTTTATAACTTCATCAATTGAATTTATGTGAAATTATAAATTGTCTCGCATATCTTCATAATATTTAAATATTAAATTATATAAAAAGTTGTTTCAATTTTTTTTTATAAGATAAATGTATGTAATATGATAGTGTATACTTAATCTAAGTTTTTCTGTTTTTTTTGGGGATTTTGACCCAAGTTTTTTTTAAAAAAATCTACTTGATCGATTAGTCTAGTTAACCGCTCCGGTTAGTCCGGTTCCAGTTTGAACCGCTCCCAACCTCATGACCGGTTAACCGTTCCAGTTCGATTTTACAAACGCGCACGTAAACCGGTAAAACCAATCATAGCCGGACCTTGGTCCGACCAAATCTTAATTGGGTCTATATCCGGTTAGGTAGATCCGGAAATGCTTCCCCACGGGACCGCGTAATATTTTGACATTTTGACCGCATAATATTTTGAGGTTATTTTCTTTACTAAAACAAGTGGGTCGATGGATTTACTTCTCAGTGCCGCGGAATTCGCGTACCCAATCCGAGATTTATCCTCTCGAATATATCTAAAAGATAGAACTCCCAAATTACTCAAGGTTACGACGTTCTTTTCCATTTCTAGGGCACTCGCTCTCTTTCTGACCCAGAGAACTCTCCCTCTCTATATCTTTTCTACTTGTAGGGCTCTCTCTCTCTTGCTGAACCAGAGAAGTCTCTCCCTCTCGCTAGAATGGCTGTGCTCTCGGATGATAGCGGTAAACGCTTAGTGCCTGAAGACTCGGGCCAATTTTTGTCCAAGTATATTCCCTTTCTCACTAAGGGGCTTTGTAGTGACTGCACTGAGATTTTGTGTGGCCGTATTCGGCAGTTGGCTCTTGGTGAGTGTTTGATTAGGTTTTCTTTCTTAGATTGATGTTTTTAGGCTACTAGGCTGTATTCAGCAGTTGGCTCTGGGAATTGGTTTGAGTGATAGGTTAGGGTTTTCTTCGGCTTTTTTTAAAGCTGAATTGTTTTGCTTGTGCATTTAAAATCCTAATTGTATTTACTTCAGTGTTTGGTGCTTTTATTTGTTGGATCAATTATCAGATTCAGTTATTGGATTATGGTTTTTTGGTTGTTTGTTTGAGAAATAATTTGGGAGGTGGTTTTGTTCTGACTGATGTAGTTTACGTCTAAGCTGGTGTATGTTTTTACTTTTATTTATTTTCTTGTTTGTTTTGAAAGCGAATCTCAAGCTACAGATGCTTTTTTGTTACAAAAACATTGAATTCTAAGACTCTTTTAAGCACTAGTAGATCAATCTTTTGGATTTTCACTTTGAGTTTGTGGCCTCAAGATTTCTAAAATTAAAATTTGAAAGTTTTATCGGTATGGATACGATCTCAACGGGAGCTTTTATCTAGATATCAGTTCTGAGATCTAGTCTTGTTTGATGAATACTTTGCTGAGTTCATCCGTTCCAGAAAGGGTTAGCATTTGGAATCCATTTTTCTTATGATGAAATAGCACCAATTCTATTGCTACTTGGATAAAAAACAAAAGGTAATACTATTAAAAACAAGAAGTGGGGTCTCGTAATGAATACTGTAATGAACTATGTACATTAATAAGTTGGTTTCATGTTAAAAAGCACTGCTAGTTTTTGTACGAAGTTTCATGTTCAATAGATTTCCTTGTCAAAATAATTTGTATGGTTTTGATGTGACAAGACGGTGCAAAAGTTACATGTTTGACACCAAGGTTTATTTTTTTTCTTTGAAATGAATATTCATGTTACCTTTTTGCAATTTACCTATCTACAAAGAAATTTAATCGCTCTTAATACTTACTTTCATATTATGACCAGGTAGGAGCAGTATTTAGTCTATAAAAGTAAATCCCACTCTTGTGGCTGCCTATTCATGATCTCATGATTTTTATTTTTATTTTTTCCGGAGATAATTGATCATTCTTTCTATTTTACAAACAATAGTGATCATGATCCTTCACAACTTTCTTCATCATCTTCTGATGTTTATTTGTTTTTCAGTTAATTGATTTCTTATTTATATTTTACAGGGAATATGGATATGGATTCATTATCAAATGGACATTGTGAGGATCACAAGGAGTCTACAACAGATTCAAGTTTGACTTCATTGGATAGAAACTCCAATAGCCACTCAAATGGAAACTATAAAAACTCACATAAAGGCTCAAGCAAGGTGTCTAGTTCCAAGAATGAGGAACTTGATGAAATGCTCATATCTGAAGTTCAGAATAAGAGGACTTCATTGTCGAGAGATGACAGAGAGAGGATTCGTCTTTTGCAAGTGGGGAGGAAAAAGGATTTTGTATGCGTAGAAAGGGTCAATGGGAAAATGGTTAACATTCTCCAAGGACTTGAGCTGCACACTCGTGTTTTCAGTGCTGCTGAACAGAATAGAATTGTCGATTATGTTCACAGCCTTCAAGAGATGGGGAGGAAAAATCAACTTAGAGGTAGGACTTTTACTAGCTCTCCTTGGTTTACATAGTTTGATATGGTAGAATTGGAGTGGTAAGATGTGTATCTCATGATATGTATAGTTCTGGGTGTTGTTTCATGCCGTTCCAATATTTTTTATGTTGGAACAGCCATTTCCATAGCCTTATGTTCTCCTGAAATGTTGACCCACAGCATACATATTAATGAATTTAGCATAAATATACTCAAGGCATATTGGTGGCAGCCATCCAACAAAAGAGTCTGGATTATATGTAATCAGTTGAATGTATCTTTCATGTTTGTTATAAGAATATCTTTCATGTTTGTTAAAAGATTATATGTTCAAGCGGAGCATTTCCTGAGTAAAACCCAATTTAGGAGTATTTTTAGGCCCCCATATTTTGGAGATAAAACCTCTTCAGCACAACGACAAACTTTCAGAAAATGAAAAAGGGAAAAAACACTGTATGACCCTGAAAAAAGTGACGATCTAATGTTGAGCATGGATCGTGGCCATATCAAGGTGTTTAAGAACTCAAGAATCCCTTTTTCTGGAAATAGTCATTTGTTCATTCCTACCTAGGTGGTTCAGAATTTCAGATCCAAAAATCCTTCTAACTTTTTGGCCTAAGGAAGCAAGTGTATAGTACTCCTGCAGGGACATGTTGTATGTGCTTTTATTGTTTATGCTTTGTTGAACTATGTATTTTTAAACTTGCAGCATGCTGATGTGTACATTTCTGGAAGTAGCATGAATTTTTATTTTTTTTATTTTTTTGAGAATGTTTGAGTAGCATGAATTGCTCCTTTTTGTGGAAGAAAGAAAACGTATGACTCCCATTTTTCAAACTTAGCGTTGTGCTTTCTGTGCTGTATTCAGAATATTTACAGGGTACATTATTTTTCTTAATTCTTGTGTGTACCTAACATGGAGTATACGAGAATCCAATTGCCTTTTGTTCATATCAACCATCTTGCCGTTCAGTTTATTGTTCTGTCACCCCTTGTCCTGATTTTTCAATGGGAAACAACATGGTTACAAACAAGGATAGGCACAAATGGAAGTTCTTCTAAAATATGTCATACCAATACTTAAATGAATTGAATTCCCAATGATTCTTTGTTCATGCCTTTTTTTAAGTTTGGGTCCCCCTCCATTTTGAAGAAATATTCCAGGCACCTATTGATTCTCGAGTGCCCTTTTGTTATTCTCTCCCCTTGTTTTCCTGCTCCCCAGTTTGTCATTACATTTGATTCTCATAGATTTTTCCTGTGGAAGACTTCATTGTTTTTTGTTTTTTCTCTAGCCATCTTCCCATAGTAATCCTGGGGCATCTGATAACTCGGGGCTCTGGAGCAGTATTTTTAAAACTTGTGGAGTTCGAATCTGACTTGGCTGAGTCACTTGGACCCTGCAGGATGCCGTGTCTGTGTGAAAACCTTGGGAACTGGTCGAGTCTCACACGTTCCAACGTTTCTATGTTTTTTTATCTTTTTTGGAGACCCGGCCTTGTCCGGATTTGAATTGGCCTAGCCTGATTCACTGACTTGGACCTGGGCCGTGCTTGCTTCTATGGCCAAGTCCATGTTTAAAAAGAGCACTGCTCTGGCACAACATTTTTCTGCCTTTCCAATGTTCTTTTGCCACTTTAAAACAAGTGGTATGCCAATTAAAAAGGCCATCTAAATCCCTCTGGGCACATTATACATTCAGCATGTGTAATTTGAAATCTTCAGTGCTTTAGCAGATTGACTTTGGAAAGCTGGTAAGCAATTGATGATTCATGTTACAAATGATATATGGCTATTGATGAGCATTTGGCTTTTTATTGATGGGCATTTTGCTTGTCTATCTACATCATGTACATATTTTTCTTCATCTAGAGGTTGATTTGGCAATGAGATCATGTACTTCTACAACTTAGATTAATCTCATTTAACTCTGGAAGTGTATCTAAAAGATTGCCATTCAATTTTTCTTTGTTTTGGATTTTGGTATGATATTCATCTCTTTCATCCTAATATCCAATGGAAAAGCTTTGCCAACAAAGAACCATACTTTTCATATGGTACTACATCTAGGGTACTCAGTCTGAGTTTTGGAATTTGATGTATGTGTTTTTTCTTATCCATGCACTACTGTGGAAAGTTTGCTTTCTGATAATTATTTTTCCAATCAAACGGCATTGATTGGTATTGTTCATGGCTTTATGCAGTGTTCATGGTTTGTATGATGGTATGTATTGAGACATTTATATTTTTTATGTGCAGAACGAACATATTCAGAACCACGAAAATGGATGCGCGGTAAGGGACGTGTGACCATTCAATTTGGTTGCTGTTACAACTATGCTGTGGTAAATGTAGATTCATAATTAGAAACATCTCTTTTTAGCTTTTTATGAATAAATATTCTTCAAAAAGTAACGAAGAGAAATACAAAGCATTAGAAACTTTGAGATCATATTCATATGAATCTTGTTTGAACAGGATAAGAATGGGAACCCACCAGGCATTATTCGTGATGAGGAAGTAGACCCTATTCCTCCCCTCTTCAAAACAATGATCAAGAGAATGGTCAGATGGCATATCCTTCCTACAACTTGTGTTCCCAACAGCTGTATTGTGAACATCTACGATGAAGGAGACTGCATACCACCCCATATTGATCACCATGACTTTGTCCGCCCTTTTTGCACAGTGTCATTCCTCAGTGAATGCAACATACTTTTCGGTTCCAACCTGAGAATCTTGGGACCTGGAAAATTTGCCGGTTCATTTTCAATCCCTTTGCCTGTCGGGTATGTTTAAATTCCTTGCAAAAAAAATTTCTTGGCCTTCTTTGGAAACAGAAGTGTGTGTTGGCGTGTTCTTGGACTCCTTTTCATCTTATCCTTTCTCTTTTGATAGATATTCTTGTCATTCTTCCTTTTGATTTGAATGCTTAGAATCAAGAGTTTCATATTGTAGTTGGTCTCCTGGCCTGTAGTCCAACAGTGAATGCTGTGCTCATTAAGGTTATAAACAAACAATACTTAGTTGTCTTTTGGAGAGATGAGATGTTACCAGGCATTTTTTTCTTTTTGGCATGTAAAATAGTTGTCCTTGACACTTAGGTAATTGTTAGCCTTTGTAACTGATTATTTTGATTAGCCTAAATACTCTTTAGGGTGCACAATGTTTACATCCCATATTCTATACCTGCTTATTTTGACACATTTCCTACTGTTGTTCAGGTGGCAAGTATTATATCAAGTGCTTGAAACTTGGTCGTGTTACTGGTTTTATTCTCCTTATTGATTTCTAAAGTTAGAATTGTGGTAATCTGCCAATCCCCGTTATGTTTGTTTCCAGTTGTGTTTGTCAGTTCTCTTCACAGACAAGGTGGTAGTTGAGCAGTCTATTCATGTAATGGTTTGTAGGAGGATTGCAACTTCGTTGAACTTCATCTTGTCATGCTAGTGGAACCCATGATTTCCCATGTATATGAGCGTAGCATTAGATTTCGTTATGGGTTTGGTCACCCATAAAGCAAGGCTACTTGTCTTGCTAGTAAGCTTTGGCTATTCATGGTCACTATGTATATCAAATAAGTTATTCCAATGTGGCAATTTATTGATAGTTTTGCTTTCTGGTAATAATGCGGTGATAGTTATAAATCCACTCTGTTAATATTTATTGAAATAATTCGTGAAATGATTTAGTTACATATCAAAATAAGTCCTGATTTTGTTTCCGTTCCTCCTACAGGTCAGTGCTGATCATGAATGGCAATGGTGCCGATGTGGCAAAACATTCGGTGCCAGGTGTTCCAGCAAAGAGGTAATTTATGTTAGTGCTACTTGAGAAGTTTCTGTAATGGTTGCAATTTTCACCGAGTTGAGGAAGAACTCATCGTGATATATATGCATTCTGTGTGAAACTGTGAACTTAAATTACAGGTGCTGCATGTATCCATGCAGTAGTTATTGGTGCGTATGATGTGTAAATGAACCTGCCAAGTACGACTTATGTGCCTGTTATATGCATATCAATATATTTTGTGTGCATTATAAGTTTTTCTATTTTTAATTTTTTTGGGTAAGGCTTTTTGAGAAAGATTAACTGTAATATTAAGTTAAGAGTTATAAAAATGCTCCCAATTATTTGGGTTAATCTTATGCATACAATCCAGATTCCATTGAATATCTATATATATATGTTGTACGTACTTGTGTGTGTCCTTTATATGAGAGGTACGAATGTGGATATGTATATGCAAATGTTTTGATCTTGTGTATTGTCTATCTTAAATTCCTCGGGAATTTGCAGAAATATGCTTTCATGTCAACTGAACATGCTTTTTTCTTTAAAAAAAAAGAATCAATGAAGAAACAAAAACCATACTTGGGACAAGCAGGAAACACACTCAGAACAACATGCTTAGCGAAAGGAAAAATGAAGAAACAGAAAAACACACCTGAAAGTTATAGCACTGTTAAGAAATTGACATTTTGGACTCAACTATTCGATTTTTTAAACCTAAACATCAGATTCAATAGATTTGAGAAATTCAGCACATTGTACTGAGCATCAAATTCTAACCACCCATAACTTTGATTTTACAGGATTTCCATCACCTTCAGGAAGATGGATACCAGGAAGCACCCGTATAAGTTTTTACCTGATCCAGAGCTTGAGGGCATCAGCCCTTATGATCCAAATGAGTCGCTGCCTCAAGCTCCACCATCTCGTCCTAGTGAGCTGCAATTCAATCACTCTGCAGAAGGAGAGGGAGAGACAGATGGAAACAACTTTTGCTACGAAAATTCCCAATTCCCACCACTTGGAGGCTCAAACTCGGCTGTAAGGCCAAGAAACAGAAGATAGGGGTGACCAAATCTAACATTATGAGCTGGTCTTTGTAGTTGGTTTATTCCACATTGTAACGTTTATTCAATTTCAGGAAATTCAACTCTTTATGTGCCACGTGTGATGGGTTTTTTAAGAGAAATTACAAAAACCCCCCCAAAAACAACTATTCTATCAACTTACCTCCACCTAAACCTTCCAATCTTTTTTAAATCACATATTTCTTAACAAATACCCCCTTTTTTACACCTAACAAAAGTGCAAACCTAAAGACCATATTACCTTTCTTTTACCTTACTTTTTTTTACTTTTCACTCTCGCTCTCTCTCTCTCTTCACTGCCCAGTCTGACATTATGTGTACGAGTCGGGAATTATGGGTGGTTAGTCTAGCATTTTTGTGGGGCAGCGCGGTGTTCATGTCACTGGAATTGCCCCGGTCCGGCGTTATGAAGGGCAATCTGGCGCTTGCGCATGTTAGTCCAACGTTTTTATGCCACAGTTTGTCATTGTGGAATCCAGCGATTTAAGGGGCAGTTCGGCATTTCATGTCACGATAACTGCCCCGGTCTGGTGTTTTGAGTGGCAATTCAGCACTTTGGGAGCTCAGTCCGGCATATCTAGAACTGTCTTGGTCCGGCGTTTTTAAGGGCAGTCCGATGGTTAGGGGGGCTAGTCCGGTGTTTGTTTATTGCGGTCTTGGGATGTTTGTTATCGAGGGGCGTTTCAGCCTTTTATATATATTCGATCCGGTAATTACGTTGTATTGAACCTGAAAATAGTTTTTTAAAGTATGGGAAGGGTATCTTCGTAAAAAAAAAAAAGCTTACCTTTTGGTTTTGGGGGTATTTGTTAGGCAAGTTGGGTTTTAAAAAAGAAGACAGTGACAAAAGGTTAGGTAGTAGGTAAGTTGATAGAATAGCTGTTTGTAGGGGTTTTTTGTAATTTTTTTTTTTTTATGTGCCAACGGTGGGATGGAAAAGATCATTTATTTTGAAACATAATATTAACGGTGATTTTAAAAACACACGGGATTGTATGCAATGAGAGCATTTTACCTTTCGTAGGTCACAAGTACTTAATACCATCGGATTGGTCACAAGTACTTAAAACTATCGGATTTGAAATCTGAAACTATGGGATTTGAAATCTGATAGGTTAGGTATGTCACAAAGTTAAAGTAAATTGTTTTTGAACTTTGAGCTGAGTCAATGAAATAGATGTTGCCATTTAATTTCACATTCAATGGTCAAGATTAATTGTAACGACTATGTTCAAAAGGTAAATGGAATTATTATATATTTTTAAAAAATGGAAACAAAAATATGGAGTTGAATTGTTTTGGTTGAGGTATCTTGCATAAAAACATGGTCGGCAACTTTTTTAGACACAATCATATTTTCTCAATCATATTTTCTGTAAGCAAGAAACAGGGCTTTTTTTGACACATAATCATGTTTTCTATAAGCAAAAAATAGGGCCAAAACATGGTACACAAAATCAAGAAAAAAGTTGGGTTATCTACTTTGTGGAAGCATGAGAGAGATGATAATACTATTTTCACATACCGGAGCTGCTCACTTTATTAAACACCATTAATTTTGCCAAAGCATTCCCATAAATTAGAGAGACAAACCATCTTAAATTTTAAGTTTTAGAGAGAGAAAGTATCTTAAATTTTTAAAAAATGAAACTATATCAAATCTTAGAAAGAGAAACTACTAAAAATTTCGAAAGATTAACTATCTCAAATTTTTTAGAGAGAAAAACTATATTAAATTTTAAGTTTGAGAGAGAGAGAGAGAGTATCTTAAAATTTTAGAGAGAGAAATTACCTGAAAATTTTTGGAGATAAACTTTTACTTGAAAATTTTTCGCTTGAGAAACTATCTCAAAAATTTTAAAGATAAACTATCTTAAAGTCTAAGTTTTAGATAGAAAAAGTATCTACAAATTTTAGAGTGAGAATTTGTATCCAATTTTAGAGAGATAAACTACCCAAAAAAAAAGTTAGAGGGAGAAACTATCTCAAATTTCAAATTTTAGAGATAGACAGTAACTTAAAATTTTAGAGAGAGAAATTATATCAACTTTTAGATAGAAAAACTATCTAAAAATGTTTAGAGAGAGAAACTATTAATTTCAAGTTGAAAGAAAATATTTTAAAATTTTATAGAGAGAAACTACCTGAAATATTTTAAAGAGATAAAATATCTCAAAATTTTTAGAGAGAAACTATTTCAAATTTCGAGTTTTAGAGAGAGAGTATCTCAAAATTTTATTGAGTTAAACTATATCAAATTTTAGATAGTTAAATTATCTAAATTAGATAGTTAAATTAGATAGTTAGAGAGGGAATCTTAATTTTTTAGTGAGAGGAGAGAAATTACCTGAAATTTTTAAGAGATATAAACTATCTCGAAAATTTTGGAGAGAGAAATTGTCAACTATCTAAAATTTCAAAGTTTTAGAGGGAGACATTGTCTCAAAAAAATTTGGGACATAAACTATAGAGTATGGGAGGGTCTCATAGAATCATTACTCTAAATTATATCAAATTTTAATTTTTTAGAGAGAAAAGCTATCACAATATTTTAAGTTTGATGTGTTATCTCTTTGTGTGTCTGTTTCCAATTGTGTTTGCTAAACATGAGGTAAGTATTTTTTCCATGTAAATTGTTAATTATGTAATTAGTTTTTGCATAAATATTTTCCTGTCAAACTGTCACGCATACCAAAGGACCCCTTAGTGTTTTTATTAATCATTTAAACTAGACATTTTGTGAAGTGGTTTGAGATTGGTGCATATGAAAAAATATTTAAAAAATGAAACAAAAAGGGAACTAAACTGTCCCCCGTATATGCACGGGTTTAATTGGTTAGCGCTTGACGATTTGCAACGTTACATCCTAGGCTCAATTCCTATCAAGGGTAGGGGCCCTCTCCGTACCGACTCACCCAAAAAAATATATATTTGGGCCCTATTCGCCCTTGACTCATGGAGAGATTTTTCTTCTAAAAAATAATATATATAAAAAAAAAAACATGATTTTGAATAAGGTATGAAAGGACTCTTGTGATCTAGCTGAAGTATATAATAATTTTTTTCAATTTTTTTTTTTTCGTCACAATCTAGATCACTTACATTCTAATAACTTCAAATAAAATAATAGAATAGGATCTTAAAAATTTGAAGCCATTCAAAACCTTTATTTCAATAAAAAAGAAAAAGACAAAACTTATGCTTGGGAATAAAAGACACAATAAATAAATATTGAAGAAACAAAAAAGGGTGCCGGATATTACCTCAACCGAGCTTAATACACCCCACGCCGAGTCTCCTCCTTCCGATGGTACTCGGGATCTGTGATCGGTCTCTTGATTTCTCCTTCTAATGGCAAAACCTAAACAATGCTCATAGATCTCATTCTAGAACCACCCACCTAAAGCCTCGATGCTTGGCTTAATTCAAGCCCATTGGCTTGATGTTGTGAGATATTGAAATTAATAAAGAAGAGAGAAAACTACTAGCTAGGGATGATCCATTTGCTGCCTACAAAATCACATAACCAAAACCTAACTTGATTTAGAGCCCATGAGATAGATTCAAGCGTAACCTAGCCCCCCCTTAAGATAATTTGTGAGAGAGAATAACCTATGTGGGGCATGCCCCTTAGAGAGGCTAGAGTGAGGGAGATATTATTTTAGAGAGAGAAGAGAGAGTAAGTAAGAGATGTAGAGACAATGGATGAGAATTATCCTTTTTATAGATTTTCATGCATTAGGGTTTGCAATAAAATCGTATGAGAAAACCATGAGCATTGATCTAAAGATAATTGTGGGTTGAGATATGTGAGTCATTCATTCTTTAGATCCACCATCAATGTGCTAGAACCATATCCTCTCATTCCTAAACTTATTCCCATCAAATAAGTTAAATAAGTAAATTATCTATTTACTTTCTCTATTAGTAAATATTCATTCCTTATTTTTCAAATCAAATGTTTTTTTATTAACAAGATATTCTAAAACTCAATATTATTATTCCTTAATGCAAGTAGGCTTCTCTCTAAAATGAAAGTCAACTAGCATGAGATGCTTCTCACCATATTTAGCAAGAAAATACAATCCCCTGTGGGTGGGGCATGCCACCATTTGGTGGCCACTCATGTGCCCCACCCAATTGTCTCATGTGATTTTAATGGACCTCTAATAATTTTAGAAACAATAAAAATTAATTTTTTGGAAACAATTTTAGAAACAATAAAAATTAATTTTTAGAAACAATAAAAATTAATTTTAGAAACAATATATTTTAGAAACAATAAAATTTAATTTTTTGATTTTTCAAACCTCTTAGTTTATTTAAAACTTTACAAATGAATTTCTCTTGATCTATAAATCCAAATGACAAAATTAAAACATCAAAATATTCATAAAAATTAAAATAAACATTATAAAATCAAATAACATAAAATTAATTAAAGTAAATTAATTTTGATGATAATTAAATCCGAATATGTATAGGATTTAATCAACACATAGAAGCACTCCACATTCAACTGTGGATCACGATCCACACTAGTTTTTTCAAGCTGACCCAACAGTTATCATGACCTACAATTCATTGTAGGTGCCTATGATTTGACCGCTAAAGTCAATTAATGGACTAGGGGATGTAATATCATTACGTAGATTTCAGGTATCCCATAGGGACAAACCATGATCCGCTAGACCATGATGCAACCATGACTCTATGGTGCATAAGGGTAATCTCTCGCACATGTACATGCTTCACCTTCAATAGTGAATTACTATCTCAATATGGCTATCTATGTAGATGTAGTGTGATGATACAATGATACGGTTTTAGTCATACACAATGGTTACACGGTCCATAGGCTCTCATCCGAGTATAGTCTAACCTCATCAAGAGCTGACCCACTAAACCCTCATCGGTTTCATCTCTGTGCCCAGGTACTTTGGGTTTTCCAACTCGGCTGACCTAGCACATCAAGCCTAATCCGAGTATTGGTAAATTACATTTGCTTAGTATGATTTACAAGATGACAACACTCCCACTGAGTTTATGATTTATTTATTCAAATGTTTATACAATCTCTCTTAGGGCCATTTAAAGGTCGCATAAACCCAACAAAGCATACCTTCAAATAGTATCGAAAGATATTGTTTCAATACTAAAAATCTTTGTAATGGCCTGAAAATTTATTTTTATCTCCAATTCTAAAATTTAAAGCTTCAAACATAGTGTAGATCGAACGTATCTATGAACACTGGAAAATTTTGAAAATTGATTGTCTAAAAATGCATTATAAGATGTACTATTTCCAAAACTTGTAATCTATTTTTTTCTCATGTCCATGCATTTTGAGGTCGAGATGATCAATTTGAGGATATTTGGGCATTAAAACAACCTCTTTTAGTAAAATTTATTAAGTGCACTTTAATTTTATTGTTTACGGCCTCGCTCTTACACAACTTTTTCCTCTAGATAATGTTACTACAAAACTTCACATTTCTTTTGGTTTTGTGCATCTATACATGGTGACCTGTGATCCACTTTATAACCTCGATCTTCCACTTGTAAAGTAGTATAGAAGGAAAACCACATCACGTAAACCAAAACATATTTGCAAATAAATAATCTTGAAAATATGTCTAGCTGTATCGGTTTTTGAAATCAAAACAATAAGTACGTTTGACATTTGTGGCTAATGTTACTTGTTTGGTTTTTAAATTAAAAAAACTTTCTCAATATTTAAAAGAACTTTCTACTTAGGAAACGTAGTTTCTTCAAGAATAATATATGCTCATACAAGAGCAAAATGCACATTTCATTGGGCAAAAACAAAACTACGAGTACATTTACAACCCCAAATGTTGGTCATGTGACTTACTCCGCTTAGGGTGAGGTTTATATAAAGTGTCAACCTTAAACAATCACGATAAGGTGCACTTTAAAATCTCATTAAAAGATGTATTTTTGGTACCAAAACTTTTATCATGTCTTAAAAGTTTATTTTTCACCATATAATGAAATTTAAAATTAAAAAATGATGTAAATCTAGCAGATCTATGATCATTTAAAAATTCTTGAAAATTGATAGTCTAGATAATGTGTTAGAAGATGTACTATTTTTAGGACTTTAATTTTATTATTTTCTTTCATATTCATATATATCGAAGTCAAGTGATTAATCGGAGAATTTCAACATTTTTCAATGCACTTTACTTCTTTAGTACGAGGTTGACACCTTGTATCAATTTTTTTCCAACATGAAAATCATGCCTTTGGGGTTGCATAACGATCTTCTGATGATTGGGTTCATGATTTTTTAATGAAAAAAAAAAAAAAAGAAAAACCTGATCCTAAGTAGACCCATAATTTTTTATCCGCTGTAAGTTGGGCCTATGCCCGAGGGAGGAACTGTGACTTTTCTACAACAAGAGCATCGCATACACGCTACTCTTTATTATTCCTTTCATGCTTGCAATCGATTT